GGCGTTTCTGGTGGTGCTGATGGTTTTTACTCACAAGACAGTGTTCTTGGTTAGCGCTATCATGACGGCGGCGGGGATTCTCTGGTTCGGTTTGATGAAGATTTGTAAGAGGAAGAAGATTTTCAAGTTCGATCCTCAGCCGGAAGCCATGGAAGCATCTTGAGAACAGAGGACGTGTTTCTTATCTGTCGCTTAGTTTCAATTCATGTGTTTTCTTTTTCTTTTTTTCTTTTTTCCTTTTTGGTTTAAACTGTGGCTAATTATGGGTTAGATTTGTAGATATTTTAGTTGGAAATTAAGCGAAGGAATAATTTTAGGTTATGATCATTTTTGTTCTCTACTCTTATGATGTTTATTGTTTGGCTATTGTAATTGTTCATGTGATTTTTTGAGTTTTCTGAGCTCCAAACCTAATTGATCCTACATATTAGGTCTCACCCATATTAAAACTTTGTCAAATTTTAGACTTGAACATCGGAATATATTTTGAGACACTAGGAAATCAAAGTCTAGCACCCCTAACGGTTAACTTAAATACAATCAACAACGTAGGAACGTTTCACTGCAACAAGTGTGAAGATAAGATATCGAACCTCCCATCGGAAGGAATAGATAAATTCTTAACCGTTGAGCTAAGCTGTTTTCATTTTCCCTTATTATTTATTCTTTGTGAAGGGCCTAGAGGAAAAAGACAAATCCTCTACATAAATTATAACCCATTAGCATGTTTACTCGAAATTAGTCCACTTGGGACACCATCCGGACAAATCTCTCAAACAATCATATGTTTGATTGTATGTTTTTTTTTAACAAAGCATTTTTTAGTACAACAAATATTGAGCCCAACAAATGACCAAGATACCTTCGTCGCACTAAGTTCATGTTAGCTTTTATTTTCATTTTTTTTCCTTGTTTAGAATTTAGAGGAATAGACAAATCCCCGAAAAAATTGAAACCCAGAGAGGAATAGACAAATTCTCTCAAGAAATTCGAAACTTGTTAGCATGTTTGCCCGAATTAGTCCCCTTAATCCTCCAAAATTAAGAGATGTGGAAGCTTTTCAGAGTTCACAAATTTACAATTTCATTTTTTAAGAATAAAGAAATAAATATAAAAAGACCATGAGAAACAGGACTGCCCATTGGAATAGAAAATACAGCATGGAAAAGAAAAATCAGAAGCTTCTAACATGGGGTGGGATGCTGTGAGAGAGAAGTTTGAATTAACAGTTGAAAAGTGCACTAAACGCAAAATGCAGCTTGGACTTAGAGCAA